TTTGATTGGTTAATTATCACGGAAAATCACGGGTAGATCTACAAAAATTAACCAATCATACGAATGTCGGCCTATGACCCCTGGAGGGGCCATTGGTATCGGTATGTTTTGATATAAATCAGTAAAGTATGGAGAAACGTGGTTGCATTATAAAACATTACAAGATTCCATCAGGTTTTTATTATTCCAAATAAAACGTGGCTGTGTGTGGCTTCTCAATAACAATGTACAACTTTTTAATTTACTATTTGTAGCAATTGATTTAATTGCGGGTTTGCATAATTTTGTGAAATTTGTAGATCATAAAAAAAAAGAATCATCTAGGCTGGTTTTAAGACAAAAGCATATAAAAAATTCGCATGGCTAAAAAATTACATTAATTTTAAAACAATTCTTATCGGTTTTTACATACACCATGTAGAACGTACCACTTCGTCATGTACGTAGCAAGTTACTTCTTTGGCAGGTTGAAGAGCAGTAGGTTTCATTTTTTTTTTTACAACTTAAAATTGTCGATGACAATATCATGTCATATAATATAGAAAATATGGAATCATATAATCACATGTCATATGTAAAATCATGTAAATTTATATAAATCATACGATATCATCGTCAAACTGTTTCTGTTCAAAAAATGGGTTGTACTAGGTGATGGATATAAAAGTCACGTTGCGATTTATCGTTGGCCAATAGGATCAAATGTTTCACGTGCCAGGAAGTATATATTATTAAAGTTCGGTTTAAAGTGACGACCTCTTCCATCCGCCGCTTTGGCGTTACCGATCCTTGGACGTGTCAAATAAGCGCTAATTTATTTATATATATACATATCGATATAAATATTAGGTATTTCTTATTTGTCACACCCAGCGATTGGTCACAAATGGAAGGGCACCTACAATATAGATTTAATCCTCAAATCTCGTTTAACAGTTAAGAATAACGTACGTACGTGAAACGATACAGAACATACACATGCATGTTTATTCATAATTAATATTCCCAGCATTGTGATAATGTAACGTAACGTCACATTGAAATTTTAATTATTTGATTTGTCTTGGTTCGAACATTTGATCATACGTGCATGAATTTTCGTGCGATTCTGGAGTAGCTTCGTACCATATGATGAAGAAAGTCTTTAGCATCTTCGCCGAATTAATTATAAATTGAAATGATTGAATGATTAATCAATAGTGTTAATGCTCATAATAAACAGAGAGATTGAAGTTGGAGCGTTAATTTTTGCTTAATATTCGTGAAGAATAATTCAGTTAAATATTCCTTGTTAATAAACTTTACCTATAGACATAATGTACAGTGCTCGCCAAATTGTGTACTAAATCATCTGAAAAATTGTGCCACAAAATATAAAATCGATTCGAGTCAACAAATAGCCTATTACAATACACAGTAAGCAATTCAAGTGATGACTCTGTACTGGTACATACGTCATACGTACGTACTGTACGTACAAAATTATTAGTGTAATAAAAGTGACCAGACACTGATCGTATGATTTTTATAAATTTTTTTCCCATAACAATGGTTTGGAGTTACACCAAATGATGTTATCACCTGATATTAAGTCTTTTTGCATGTATTAGCTGTAATTTTAGGCAGGTGCAACTTCAGCACGACATAACTTATATCCATAGATCTGATGTTAATTAGTAATTTGATGAAATGATTTATTTACGTAGATCACAAGGGATATAATCCGGAAATTTATTAAAATGATGAAATGTTTCGTTAGCGTCATTACGTTGGGTCTATCGCCGTATGTATGTACGTACGTACGTAAATAATTCATAAAGAATAACCTTGGTTACATAATAATAATAATAACGCCAAATTACGCAAGTAACCACATGTAATGTATTACCTTTGTATGCACGTACAATAATACGTAATCATATAAATAAATAAATATTAATTTTCTTTTTTTTCTTTTTTCAAAAAGACTTTTTTCGACAAAAAATGAGCGATGACATAAATGCAGAAAGATTACCATTATTAGAAACACAGGAAGATCGAAATCCCATTGACTGCAAAGAACAATGTTGCTGTTGTTTTTTTTTCAATAATCATGATCTTAATTTTATTTATAGCGATAGTTACCAATAATAGTATCTCATATTCAAATTTACCTACTGACGTATCAAAAATTCCTTATGATTATAAATTAAGATTTAAAAGTTTTTGGGAATATAATTATATTATTGAAGGTTATCCGACTGAATTTAATGGTGAAAGTAACAATCAACCCGAGTTCATAAAATATGCTGAAATTGTAGTTCCTTATTGGACTTATGGAAATTTCAATGTTATAGAATTTAGATATCATTCAAATGGTTCTGTATCCTCTGTTTCAACTGTGACTTCTAGGATCGATGGATATCTTACAAATGATGTAGATATTTTATTTACCGTTTCTGATGATGATGTTGATTTTGGATTAAAATCTTGCGAATATCGAATTTCTTGGACTTGGTTGTTTAATGGTTATATTTTAAGACGATGTAAAAAAGTCAATGAAACGGTTTTCAATCTAGTCGCTTTTATTAGAGGTCATCCTGCTTGGGGTTTAAATTTTTTATCTGTCGACGAGAAGATAAAATATGGTTATAGTAGTAGGGCTGCTTTTTTTTGGAATTTGTATGTGAGGTATGTATCAAACTATCTTTATTTAATTGTGATAATTAATATTCATTATTAGATTTAATATTTTTGTTGACTTGTTCAAATTATAGGGACGTATACGTTGATCCAGCTGCTCCGTTTCCTCCGATCATACCCACTCTTTACACCGCTTATTATAATTACTTGGAACGTATTAGGCAAAGAAAGGGTAACAAACGTGATGATAAGTAAGAATAGATATTCCCGTTTTTAATGTCAGAGTTTATTGAGTTTATTGATTCTTAAGTACACCAACTAGTTTGACCTTTAATTCTTCATTTCGTATTTCATTCGTTTGTATTAATGTTAATTCATCAAAGCCTGTGATTAAACTGCTTATACGCTCATATTTTAGTCGAAAAATTTATATTCTGGTGAATTACCAACTGGGAAATTTTTTACTAATGAATAGATGAGTCTAGTCGTCATAATGTATACAATTTGGCCTCACTGTTGCGAGTTAAATTCTACACAGTATACAATATATGGATCAGGCGAAAAAGAAAAGGATATAACTATCTTTCCTAGAACGAACTTAACGGCTTAGATATACTACATAGCAGAGCATAATAAATTGATGCCATTGCTAATTTAGTTGTGAACCAATTTGATATGAGGATGGAGAATGAAATTTGCTAATAAAACAAAACATGGCATATGTTATGAAAATAAAGTGTACCATTTAAGATCTTTCAAATTCCTATGTCTTCGATAAGCATCTTGTTCTAAATATTCAAAATAAAGTTATACTCTTTCCGATTTACAATTTAATATTTTATTCATAGATTTATAATTATTAGCAAATAATAGTAAATTGTAAAATTAAATTCCAATCATAACGATCATTTTAAAGTATTATATGTAAAACCCCAATTTAAAAAAAATTTTTATGAATGAAAAATGTTTTTGTTTGATCAAACTAATATCTTTACTATTATTTAATGTGTTGAGTGATTAAGTATCGAGAAAACTCCTGATTTTGGTAATCAAAATAAGAGTTCCTCAAATTGTGTAATTAAAATAATTCTATTTAATAAATAATTTTATAGCTACTATAATATTAAGCTTCTTTAAACTAAAATTTATAAAACTGTGTTTTATAATTAGAATTAGAGAATAAAAATAAAAATTTCGAAATCACAAATAACTTTACTTAAAATATCAAATATTAATTCTTTTAGCTAATTTTAAAATATAATAACTGTAGTATTAACACTTTGAGCATGTTTTAGTAAACTTATTAAATATTAGCTATATTAAAAATATTTTAAGATTATATTTGATAAAAACTTTGCATTATTAATTTAACCAAAAATAAATTAACAAATTCTAATAAATTTTGTAAATTACAAAAATTAATTTTAAAATAATTTATTAAATTTAAATAAACATTTTTATTTTTGTCCAAAATTTAAAATTTTGTTATATAGTAAATTATGCAATCAGTGCACTAAGTAATATTTTTAAAAATTCACTAAGACAACTTATTTCATAATATAAAATTTTTTTTTTACAATTAATACACATACATATAGTATTTATCAATATATTATTAATTAAATTTTAATATAAAATAGTTCTAAATTTTAATTAATATTTTAATAACTACTATATTAAATTTAATAAAAAATTTTTATTTGGCTTTCAATTTTTAAACTATATTTAATTAAAGTTTATAAAGTTTATAGGTAGAGGTTGGATCTTTTGAATATCCATCATGGCTGTTCAATCAATATTCGCGGGTTTTGATGTTTACAAATAGCATTGAATGAATATCCGGATTTTGAATGGATATCCATCTATTATTGTAACCATGAATATAAACGAATCAATTATATCAATTACAGACCCTTGACTATCTATGAATTTTGTGTAACTGAATATTGGATGTTCAATGAATAACTATTCCCAACCATGAATATTCATAATGTAAATAGTAAAAATTTAGTACTAATAGTAATTAATTTATACTATAAATAATTATATATGATATCTACTAATTATAAAAAAAATTTAAATAAATAAAAATAAAAAATTTGATTAAAATATTTATTTAACAAAATACTGTATATTTTTATTACAGTGCAGGCATTATATAAAATATACAATCTTTAAAGATTTATAAAACTAAAATTGTTGTAAATTAAATCTTTTTATAAACTAATAAAATAAAACCTAAAGAACAAAGTTATGAAGTTTATTTTTTAATTAACAAATATTTAAAAAAAGTTATATTCTCTGTAGGTACCCAATTTTATTAATAAATTTAAAATTTGCCATTTTAATTTTGGACAAAATTATCATAATTCTAATCAAAAAATATAAATTAATTTAAAATAATAAAAAAATTTTTTTTCTTTTTTTTTCTCTCTTTTTTTATACTCTAGTTAATTATATTAATTTATTTGTATAATGTATATTTAAATTTGACTACTAAATTTTTGACTTAAGGTTTAAAGATGCTCACACTATAATTGCTGCCAATTTTTGTCAAAAATTAGTAAAAATAGTATAAATTATCAATTATACTCATAATTAATGATTAGATTTGTATTGGCACACTGTTATAAATAGCATATTTAGTATATTTAAAATAAATATAATATCTAGAATATTTAGTATAAATAACATAATTAGAACATACAGTATAGTATATATAGTATATAAGTAAATAGTATATAGTTTGAAATATTAATAATAATTAAAAATTAGCTAAAATTAAATTATTTAAAGACTTAATTAAAAATTACATACTATAATATGTTTGTATATTGCATTTTAACAATTGATCAATTAAATTTTAAAGATTAGTTGTAATATGCAAATTAATTTTATATCTCTTAATATATAACTAATACAGACAAATTTGCTTGCATTTTTGCACTTTTTTAGCTCTAATCTAATTTTTAAAATCTGAAATATTTAAATAAAACTTTATAATTACTTTACTTTTTTGCAAAATTAGTTTTTATAATATAAGAAAATATTTAGGTTGCTTAAAAACTAAAAATAGGTAAGTTTAGAACTAAAAAAGTTATTTACAAATCTTAACAAACTCATTAAATATTAATTTTAAACATATAGACTTAAACTAATATTATAGTTAATGGATTTTTTTACTATTTTGTACTAAATTTAATACATTTTTCAAAACTCAAAAAATTAGAAAAAATTAAACCTTAATTTTTTATATACAAAAATCAGATAAATATTCAAAAATTGTTTGGCAATATTTTTTCTGTATTAATAATAAAGTTGTTAAAAAAAATTTTTTTAAACTTTGTATTTTTTGTAGTTTTTTTTGTACAAGATTTAGTACAAGATTAAAACTATAATTTATTAATAATTTTATAAATTAAAAGTTTAATTATATAAAATATTTTAGGGCTTGTTATAAAAGAAATTATTATTAGTTATATTGTAATAATTATTATTAGTTATATTGTAATAATTATTATTTATATTATAAGCTCTTTTTTCAATTATTATAAATTATTACTATTTTAATAAGTTATTAGTAAGCTATATAAGTTTAGCTAGAATTAAAAAAATTTTATTGATTAAAATTTTTAAATTTTTAATTGAAAGTTATAAAATTTTATCTTCTAATTCTAATTACAAAAAATCTCTGATGTTAAATAAGTTTATAATAAGTTATTTTACTTTAAATTTTAAAAAAATCATACATGTTTTTTATATATAAATTTTAAAAAATATTTATATAGAATTTCTAGTAAAAATTTAAATTGAAATTACTTTCTATATATTAGTTTAATTTATTAGCTAATTTTATATTTGATATTAGCTAACTTATCTTTATAATTTATTAAAATTTAGATAAATTTATTTAATAAAAAAAGTTTTATAAATGAAAATATCTACTAAAGTTACTTACTAGTAATTACTATATAAAATTAACTTAAAAGGTGTGGCAACATAGCAAAGTGGTGAAGTTGTCACACTCCAAGTTTGTTGGTTATAGTACTGAGTTTGAATTCTACTAGCAATATTTTGAATAATTTACTTATGTTATGATAATAGCTTATTCTAAATTGAGTTGGCTTTATACCTATAAACTAAAGTATACCAATACCTTAAGTTGGTGCTGGGAGACTTAGAAGAATTTGTGTTATTGTACAAAGAAATACAAACTGGTATAGGTGGTGCAAATCCATGATAAGTCTTTCAGAATTGACATATATTAAAGACCTATATATAGTAGCCTAAGAGAATTGAAACTGGCTTGGCAAATTCCAATTAAGGAAGTAGCAAATTGATCTAACCAAGTACTACCTGATACTACAAGTTACTGAAGTCTAGATGAATACATTGTGGGAATGTACTACTCTAGCAGGTTTATCTTGAGAATAAATAAAAACAAACAGTTCCATTCTAAGTCTGGTTGTTAATCTAGTGGTGTTACATAGATCCATATGCTTAGTATATGTAGAGCTTACTAATTTACTATTTGAATAATATTCAAATAATTTAGATTAACAAACATTTATTCGAATATTCGCTGAATGACTAATACTATTCGAATAAATATAGGTATTCGA